ATTTTTGAAAAAAAAAAAAAAAAAAAAAAAGTGTTGATTTATGGATTTGTGAGACTTGTCTTTCCAGAAGCATACCACTGTAAGTATTAATTCACTAATGGAATGATTTGTCTTGTTTTCTCCTACTCAATACCACCTTAGAATTCTTAATAAACCACTAACATTACATGCTTCAAACCATGAGTCTGTTTAGGAAATGAAGCCAGTGGCTTGAGAAAATAAAAGGCATTCTACTTCAGAGAGCAGTACCCAGTGGAGACCCGGCTGCCTCCTCATCCTTTTTAAAGGGAGTTATTAAAGAGTAGAGTAACAGGCCTTAAGGTGAAGACAGAACAGATCAGATATGGCTTGATAATTTCTGCATTGATATTCTAATAGGGCATAGTCTGTGAGTGAAAGCAATATGTTTTCAGTATCGCAGTGAGGTACAAGGGTCATATTCCGTTTGATTAAATATGCTATATTCAGAATAGCCCTAGGCTCAGCGAATGTGATCTTCAGAATGCATTATCTGTGCACAGAAATGACACTTGTGTACTTCGATCAGTAATCCCAATAACCTGCCTAATTGCAGTGTGATTGCCTCCAAGGTAATGATCCAGCGGGAAGTGCAAGAGAGACGCCCAGGCGGCTTTCTCGAGAACAGATTTTTGTACTGATATCGGCTGCTTCCATGAACTTAGGTTCCATGATGTGCTATTCCATCCTTGGACCCTTTTTCCCCAAGGAGGTAAGACATTTTTATATGTCTACGAGCTCTAATTTCTCCAAAAGCCTTCTGAATTATTTCATTTTACTGTGTGTAAACTGTATAAATCTGCATATAGTATAGATTAAATATGAATATACATCCAGCCCAGTCAATAGAATAATGCTTGATACCGGGGGAAAAAATTCAGTCAGAAAGAACATCCTTTTGGAGATAATCCCCCTAAATATACTCTGTCTTCTGAGGATTGCTTTGGTTACCATTTAGCCTGATTTGTCTTTGTTTGGTTTCTCAAGCTGATAGAAGAGAGTGCACCGAATAACTGAGATTTAAATGCTACTGCAGAATGTCTATGTTAGGAAAGTAACTGTCTCCTGAAGTTTTCTGTTTATTAACGTTTTGGAATTAGGAAGTGGTGATCCACTAAATCTCCTTTTCTGATTTGAATTTCTTATGGCTTCTAGCAGCAATCTCTGCCCAAAGGAGGAATGCTGATTATTAATATTGTCTTGTTCCCCCTAAATCATAGCCTTTTATATTGTGTTAGGGTCTACGACTAATGGCACAGGCTTAAAGAGAATAACGTCTAGAGAGTCCAGCTGGATTCTGGACATCAATGGGCTATAGTATGAAATGAAGGGATCTGGCCTGGGTGAGTGTAGACAGTGTGTCCGTGTGCTTTTGTGCCCTTTGCCAAATCCTCGGCTCACAGTGCACTAGCAGCCTCTCAGGGCTTTGATAACACGTAGTCCTTCATTCTGTATATTACAAAGGAAGATAAGTGGCTTCTCTGCTCAAGGAACAATGCCGCTCTTTACTCATACAGAGCTCTCCAGTTTTCAATGCACATTTCCATGCATTTATCCTTTGGCCCCCGCAACCACCCCATAAAGTAGGAGGAACAGTGAAAATCTCATCGTGTTGCAAATGATGACACAGTATCAAAAGTTGGGACTTTCCCCAATTTAGTTCCATTAACTAGGACTTAAAGAGTTCCTACTCTAGAGTGCGTTAGGGCAGAAAAAAAAAAAATCAGGGAAATGTCTCTCTTTTGACTATCCGTTGGGAATGAAAACATTTTAAAGAAAGGTTTCAGGCTATTTGGATTTCCACTTAGAAGCGGATGCCCAGAATGTCTTGAGACTCTAGAAAGAGGAACGGTGAATTCTGTCATAAGTGGATCCTCACGGGTGGAACAGGGGCAGGAGAAGCAGGAGTGACGCTGAAAGGGACTTCACAGGGTAAATCCAAGGTGGGTCTTGAGAGATGACGGTTCCTAAGGTGAACAACAGAGGCAGTGGCCATCTGCGCATAGTCACATGAATAGCAAAGTGAATGCGAGCTCTTGAGAAACAGTCGACTGCTTGGTGTGGCTTGAGCCAAGGGTGAAGTGAGGTCTAATGAGAGACAGAGGATCAGAGAAGACAGGCTTCAGCTAGAGCACAGTGACTTTGAGTGCGTGTCAAGGACTCAGACAGTGGGAGGTCATCAGAGCTGTTTGACCAAGATGAAGTAGGCTGGCCAGATTTGGGTTTAGTTAAAAAAAAAAATTAGGCTGGGCACGGTGGCTCACGCCTATAGTCCCAGCGCTTTGGGAGGTGGAGGTGAGAGGATTGCCTGACTCAGGGGTTTGAGACCGGTCTGAGCAACATGGCAAGACCTTGTCTTTACAATAAATAAAAAAATTAGCTGGGCATAGTGGCGCATGCCTGTGGAAGGCTGAGGCGAAAGGATCGTCTGAGCCTAGCAAGTTGAGGCTGTGGTGGACGTGAGCATGCCACTACACTCCAGTCTGGGTGACAGATTGAGACTCTGACTCAAAAAACAAAAGATTAAATAAGATGGGAGTCTGTGGTGTTGAGGAGGAGAAGAATTGAAAAAGTAGATCGGCCGGGCTCGGTGGCTCAGCCTGTAATCCCGCGTCTTTGGGAGGCCGAGGTGAGTGAATTGCCTGAGCCCACGGGTTCATGACCCACCTGGGCAACTTGGCAAGACCTCATCTCTACAATAAATCAAAAAAATTAGCCAGACGTGGTAGCGCGCACCTGTAGTTCCAGCTACTTGGAAGGCTGAGGCAGAAGGATCGCTGGAGCCCAGCAGGTCGAGGCTGCGGTGGCCGGGAGCGGCCACTGCACTCCAGTCTGGGCGACAGAGTGAGACTCCAACTCAAAAAAAAAAAAAAGAAAAAGAAAAAGTTGATCAACTGGTTCGAAGGGTATTATCCGACTCAGGTAACATTAGTTTCCTCTCGTTGAATAGGGACAAAGGAAAACACGACTGTGGGTGTGTGCTTTTTAAGCTTTTGATTGAGATTTTTCCTTATAAATGGTGTTGACTGAAGAAAAAACTCAACTTTTTGGAGAATTAAAGTTAGTTATATTTAGAAGTCTTACTGAGAACTCTAGACCAAGGTTTCCAGTCCAGGAGCTGTTGTGTGAGACTGGGCCAACACAGGATTTCAGGTCACAGTTTAATATGTGGTGAAGATTCAGTATGTCCAAAATCATATCCAAGTTTGATGTGGTATAAGAACACATGTGGTTATGGATTACTAACATACGTTTGGTTACAGATTACAGAGGCATAACTCCTAACCCCATCAGACATTATCTTACATGTGGGAAAAGGCAAGGCTAGGGTCATTTATTTATTTATTTTTGAGTTGGAGTCTCACTCTGTCGCCCAGACTGGAGTGCAATGGCCACTCCCAGCCACTGCAGCCTCGACCTGCTGGGCTCTAGCGATCCTTCTGCCTCAGCCTTCCAAGTAGCCGGAACTACAGGTGTGCATACCATGCCCAGCTAATTTTTGATTTATTGCAGAGACGAGATCTTGCCAAGTTGCCCAGGTGGGTCTCAAACCCGTGGGCTCAGGCAGTCCTCTTGCCGCAGTCCTCTCGCCTCAGCCTCCCAAAGTGCTGGGATTATAGGCTGAGCCACCAAGCCTGGCTGGGTCATGTATCTTTTAAGGAAAAGTAGTGACTTGGGCAAGAGACATGGGGGTCAAGTGTTCTGTTTTGTGTTCAAAGCATTCCCTCTGGAGAGCTTGCATTGACTCAGAGTCAGGGGCTTGTGAAATTATGCAGCAAGCAGAAATGAGCAAACGTGGTGGCTTCTTACATTTGCTACTTTGGTCTCATAGAAGGAAAACTAAAGGGAAGAAGAAAAAGGCAGGGGAGAGAACATTCTAACTTTAAAGACTGTTGATATGAAGAGTGAACTCTACCTTTTTGTTTCTTATTAAAATCTTCTGGCAGGGCAACTCCCTCGGGTCCCCTCCCACTGTGCGAACTTGTCTGTCCTCTCAATAAATCCTGCTTTCAAAAAAAAAAATCTTCTGGCTGACAAATGCATGGGTGAAGTTTTGTCTTTCCTCCTGCATGTTCTGTCAACCCTCATAGTAGCCAGAGCCTTGTTGATCATTTTTTTGCCGTTCCCCTCCTTTGTCAGATGACTGCTGTGAACCAGAAATTGCTTTTAAGAACTGTTCTTGGAACTGAAGCAAGATCCACATTCCAGAGTGGATCATTGGCTGCCATGGCATGTGGTTCTGTCACATCCTGTACCACCATTCCATTTCCGCAGAGAATATGGGAGCATGCACCCGATGGGAACTGTGGCGGCTTGGTGACCATGTAACTCTTGCAAGTTCCTGGCCTTAACCATAAATGGGGCCTATTAAAATTACATCCCGTACTTAATTGTTGTTAGATACAGTGTACAATAGCACTTAGCAGAGATTCTGGCTCATACTGAGAGGCCAATACATGTGATTTGCTATAACCATTATATGTTTTCTGCTAGACTCTAGAATGAAATGCTAATCAGCTGGGCTTGGTGGCTCAGCCTGTAATCCCAGTGCTTTGGGAGGCTGAGGTGTGTGGATTGCCTGAGTCCACAAGTTCGAGACCCGCCTGGACAACTTGGCAAGACCTCATCTCTACAATAAATCAAAAATTAGCCAGGCATGGTGGCGTGCACCTGTAGTTCCAGCTACTTGGATGGTTGAGGCGGAAGGATCGCCAGAGCCCAGCAGATTGAGGCTGCGGTGGCCGGGAGTGTGCCACTGCACTCCAGTCTGGGTGACGGAGTGAGACTCCAACTCAAAGAAAAAAAAAAGAAATGCTTATCAGACCTATTAAGCAAAGAACGTGGATTATGTCGTGTGGCCGGTGAATGTTCTGCCTACGTCTTAATTGACTTCTTTGGTCATACTTTTCCTTTGAGGATCCAGTAGAAATGTAGACTTCATGTTACGGTCTAGATAACAGCATAACATTTTGTTATGACGCCATTAAAGATCGTCTTAATAATGAGATCTCTCTTGTCTCCACACCATTATGTCACGTGGTTATTAGAACATGAAAGGCGAACCGCTAGTTATGAAGCCCATAGCAGTTATGGGCTTAAATCCTGCATGTGCAATTTCTGCCCACACCCACAACCAGCTGTTTATGGGACACATTTCTGGGGACCTTCCTAGAGTAAGGAGAGGCCCTTCCTAAAATTTAGCTTTGAAAAATAGAGTTCACCTATTTGGTTTCCTGTGGTTTGATGCTGTGAGAATTGTAAGGTTTATTTTAAAAGGCACTAGTCTGACATGGAGAGAACGTTCTTAGAAAAGGCAAAGAGTGAATTTTGATGGTATCGTTATGTGGGAAGGGATGGAGAAAATGCCTATCTCAAAATTGTAATTAGAAAAGGTAAAGAAATGAGGTTATGGCTGTTGTAGATAATGGATTTTGGAGGTTGTAAGGGCGTGTGTGTGTGTGTGTGTGTGTGTGTGTGTGTGTGTGTGTGTGTACGCACACGCACGCATTTTTGAACTGAATGAAGTTATTTGTGAAGATTCTGAAGCACTGGCGAAAGGATGGATCTAAATTGTGCTCCTCTGACCATGAATACTCAAGGCTGGTTCAATGCCTGACATCTGGAAGGTGCTCAGTACAGAGTTGTGTAGTTCAGGGTTTGCACTTCATAGTAAGCTAAGTTATTAATCCTGTCATATAGAGAAATTAACTCATTTTAATTCCTTAAATTGCTGTAGCGAGAGTCTGATGTGAATGAGGATTTGCCATATTTCTGGGGTTTGAAAAAGGTTTTTAAGCATTCTACTTTTGAATGTGAGTTTAATTGTATATCACAGTAGTAGCACTTGAAATTCAAATGAAGTAGATTCAGGATCGACACTATATAGTCTGTAGCAAATTGAGGAGTTCACTGGTAGGACAGGCTATAACCATTAATAGTTATGATTGATGGATGACAAACTGTCCTAGGTGTTTCAGGAGAATATAGAATGTCAGGAGATGCCAGGCTCAGTGGCTCAGCCTGTAATCCCATGCCTTTGGGAGGCTGAGATGAGTGGATTGACTGAGCCCGCGGGTTCGAGATCCGCCTGGGTAGTGAGACCTCATCTCTACAATAAATCCAAAAATCAGCCGGGTGTGGTAGCGCACGCCTGTAGTTCCGGCTACTTGGAAGGCTGAGGCGGAAGAATCGCCAGAGCCCAGCAGGT